CAATTCTCGGCCGGGGGCATGGCCCTGGCAGGTGGCTCTCTACAAGGATGGCATCTATCAGTGCGGTGGGACGCTCATCAGCGACCAGTGGGTCGTGTCTGCCGGACACTGCTTCTTCCAGTGAGTCTTTTTCCTTTCGCTCTGGAACATTTGAAGCGCGAATCGTTCGTTGCACGTTTGAAATCCGTAGTTCTCAGAAGAGCCACTGGGTGGCGCGGCTGGGAGCATCGAGACGGGGTTCTTCTCTCTTGTCGCCTTACGAACAGACGCGAAGAATCACGCACGTCATTCTTCATCCCAATTACGTAGACGCAGGTGAGATACAAAAACTCGATCAAAAAATGTTTCTTGAAAACATAAAAATGCAGCGTACATTTTGAATCCTGGAGAGGTCTTCTCGTCGAAGTCTACTGAGAAAGGAAACGAGTTACTCGTTTCATGTCGACTTCATCGAATGCCGATCCTTCCCGTCCGAAGCAGATCGGTTGAAATCGTATGTCGTTTACGACTTTTCTGAATCGTCTCCTTCCTCTCGCCGACCAGGGTTCATCAACGACATCTCGTTGCTGCGGCTGGAGGAGCCGGTGGTGTACAGCGATTGGGTTCGACCGGTCTGCATCCCGAACGAAGATGCCGAGGTCGAGACGGGGAGGATCTGCACCGTCGTCGGATGGGGACAACTCTTCGAAGTGGGACGAATCTTCCGTGAGTTTCTTCTGGCGTTCGCGTTCTCTCGCGGATGGTTCGGCCTCGTCGACGAAGGGAGTTTTTCGGGATGGGTTGCAGCGGATAGCCTGCAGGAGGTGGAGCTCCCGCTGCTGTCGACGAGGGACTGCAGACGACGGACCCTGTTCTTGCCTCTGTATCGCATCACGGATAACATGTTCTGTGCCGGGTACGAACGAGGAGGCCGGGATGCTTGCCTCGGTGACAGTGGAGGCCCTCTCATGTGCCAGGTGAGGCCGAGTCGTCACGACCTACCTCTCTCCTACGACTAGGGAATGCATTCAAGCAATAACTTTGATTGTTTTATTTTTTAGGAACCGGACGGTCGATGGATATTGATGGGTGTAACGAGTAACGGTTACGGTTGCGCCCGACCGTCTCGCCCCGGCGTTTACACCAAAGTTTCTTCATATTTGCCTTGGATTCGACGGATCTTGGAGGGCTCTCTTCCCCCCGACCTCGAGACTTCTTGCTCGGGACACAGGTTCGTCCACCTTCCATTCTCTCTCCGCTCGACGAACGAACGCGATGCACAAGCGAAACTCGGAATTTCTTAGGTGTCCTCTGGGAGAATGCTTGCCGCTGGAACGGGTCTGCGACGGAGTGTCAGACTGCTCCAATTCCAGCGACGAGGCGGAATGTCCGAGGTGATTGTATTTAGCCTACTGTCCTCGTTCCCCAATGCTCAATCTTTCCTTCCGATCCCGTCCTTTATACAATGTGATGCTGTGCATGTATGGAGCATCTGGCCCAGATCTCCGATCCCCAAGGATATTATATAAGAAGGCATTGTTTTTTCCCCCTTCCGACCGACACGGACGTCTCCGGATGGAGTCGATCAGCACGCCATTGTGCGCCAGTACGCTTGTAAGTCATTTGTTGTTGTTGTCGGTGAGAATATCAGTTGACAAGGAAAATCTCCGCAATGATCTGTGATATCCACCCAGAATTTTTCCTTATTTATTCGCCCCGTCCTTGTTGTTTTTACGCATGAAAATAAAATTGCCTGCCTGTCATGGAAGAGACGTCGGTCATTCCCCATTACCGCGAAGGACAAGAACGAAACGAAAGGAGCCTGGCGTCGGTGGAAGAAGCGAGAGGCGAAAGAGGGAGAAAGAGAGAAGAAGCCAAACCCAATAGGGTAGCTAAAAATAGGTGAACGTGGAGGGAATGTGTGTGAGGGACGTTGGGAGTAGAGTTAGGGCTCATCCCGTGTGTGCAGGCCCGAAGTGTTAGGTGAAACTCCTTTTTTTTCTCTCTATCTTTTCCCATTCATTTATTGAGTCAGTTGTGCGCATCACGTTTCCATGCTCCATCGAGAGCCTCCGCATTCTCAGGTTAGCTCCTCCTCCATTGCTTTTTTTTTGGAAATAACTT